GACAGTCTCTTCAATAAGTGGTGCTGGGAAAACTGGACTGCTACATGTAAACGAATGAAATTAGAACACTCCCTAACACCATACACAAAAATAAACTCAAAATGGATTAGAGACCTAAATGTAAGACTGGACACTTTAAAACTCTTAGAGGAAAACATAGGAAGAACACTCTTTGACATAAATCACAGCAAGATCTTTTTTGATCCACCTTCTAGAGTAATGGAAATAAAAATAAAAATAAACAAATGGGACCTAATGAAACTTCAAAGCTTTTGCACAGCACAGCAAAGGAAACCGTAAACAAGATGAAAAGACAGCCCTCAGAATGGGAGAAAATATTTGCAAACGAATCAATGGACAAAGGATTAATCTCCAGAATATATAAACAGCTCATGCAGCTCAATATTAAAAAAACAAACAACCCAATCCAAAAATGGACAGAAGACCTAAATAGACATTTCTCCAAAGAAGACATACCGATGGCCAGAAGCACATGAAAAGCTGCTCAACATAATTATTAGAGAAATGCAAACAAAACTCCAGTGAGGTACCACCTCACACCAGTTAGAATGGGCATCATCAGAAAATCTACAAACAAAAAATGCTGGAGAGGGTGTGGAGTAAAGGGAACCGTCTTGCACTGTTGGTGGGAATGTAAATTGATACAGCCACTATGGAGAACAGTATGGAGGTTCCTTAAAAAACTAAAAATAGAATTACCATATGATCGAGCAATCCCACTACTGGGCATATACCCAGAGAAAACCATAATTCAAAAAGACACACACACCCCAATGTTCATTGCAACACTATTTAAAATAACCAGGTCATGGAAGCAACCTAAATGCCCATCGACAGACAAATGGATAAAGAAGATGTGGTACATATATACAATGGAATATTACTCAGCCATAAAAGGAATGAAATTGGGTCATTTGTAGAGACGTGGATGGATCTGGAGACTGTCATACAGAGTGAAGTATGTCAGAAAGAGAAAAACAAATATCATATATTAATGCATATATGTGGAACCTAGAAAAATGGTACAGATGAACCGGTTTGCAGGGCAGAAATTGAGACACAGGTGTAGAGAACAAATGTATGGACACCAAGGGGGAAAGCAGCCAGGGGTGGGGGTGGTGGTGTGACAAATTGGGAGATTGGGGTTGACATGTATACACTGATGTTTATAAAATTGATGACTAATAAGGACCTGCTGTATAAAAAAATAAAATTAAATATAAAAAAACTTAAGTACATATTGTATTATTTTTTTTATATAAAATTTAAAACAGGCCCAACTAATCTCTAGTGACAGAAGGCAGATCAGTGCTTGTTTGGGATGTAGAGATTGAATACCAAAAGGCAGGAGGGAACTTTGGGATGATGGAAATGTTCTATATCTAGATTATAGCAGTGATTACACGAGTTTGCACATTTGTCAAAACGCATCTCACTGTACTCTTAAAATGGGTGCAGTTTGTTGTGTGTAAATGATACCTCAACCTGATTTTTTAAAAAGATCCTGTTCCCAGAGAGCTAAAAATACAAAATTTGTAATAACTTTTGTTTCAGACACAGTCTTTGATAGGGTGCTTTTAGCGATTTCATAGATTTTTTTTAACTTTTGCTTTTTTCCTTTACAGTTCTTTTTAAATTTTTTAATTCTCCAATCTAATGTGTTATATGTTTTTTACTTTAGAAATTAAAACTGTTATCTGTGTAATATTTAATTTTATAGTGTCCTATAGTGTATCAGTGCTCTCGTACACCTTATATCACCCACAACCCAGAAAATTATTTTAATCCCCGTTTTATAGATGAAGATTAATCAAAACTCAGAGAAATTACGCAAATTGCCCTTTTCGTGTGTTCTCTCTTGTCCTCTATTTAATCATTTTGTAAAACAGCATATTTCCTTATTTTTTTCTCTTTTGCTAGTCTCTTTAAGGATTTACCTGGTTGTTAGAAGTAAAATAAACCAATTAAAGTCTAGCTTGGTTTACAAGAGATATATAATGAAAATCTTACAATCTGTGATTTCCTTGAGGACAAGGACAATATTAATCTCTATGTCTATGTCCTCCTTGCTTAGCACAGTGCTTGGTGCCCTGTGAATGTTTGCTACATGAGTTTCATTGTTTTCGAAAAATAATATTTCCTGTGCCTCTGCTCATAACTTCTCAAGTTATGAGAAGTTTCTAAAATGCTTTTGAAATCTTTTCCTAGAATTGGAAACGTTATCTCTTTTTATTTATTTGAAAACTAATGAAAAACATTGAAAAGTAAACATCTCCCGTCATCGCATACCATCATACAACAGCCCCACAAAGCAGTCACTGCCAGTAACTTGACGCCTGTCTTTTCTGACTTCCCCAAGTTCATGCAGACATTTCCAGCTATGTGTATAAATATTTTCCTTTTTAAAAATGTAATCGTGCTATAGAAATTGATCTGGAGTGCAAGCTTTCTTCCCATTTAGTTTAACATGGACACCTTTCTAGGTTAGCACATATAGAGGCACACCACATTCTTTAATGACTCTGTAGTATTCCAGAGTATAATTTTTACTCCATTTATTAAGCTATCTCACTATTCATGGACATTCTGATTGTTTCAATATTTTTTTTAATAAAATTATTTATTTATTTTTGGCTGTGTTGTGTCTTCGTTGCTGTGTGTGGGCTTTCTCTGGTTGCGGCGAGCAGGGGCTACTCTTTGTTGTGGCATGCAGGCTTCTCATTGCGGTGGCTTCTCTCGTTGCAGAGCACGGGCTCTAGGCATGCGGGCTTCAGTAGTTGTGGCACCCAGGCTCAGTAGTTGTGGCTCGTGGGCTTTAGAGCGCAGGCTCAGTAGTTGTGGCTCACAGACTTAGTTGCTCAGCGGCATGTGAGATCTTCCCAGTCCAGGGATCGAACCCATGTCCCCTGCATTGGCAGGTGTATTCTTAACCACTGAGCCACCAGGGAAGTCCCTGTTTCAAATATTTTATCAGTAAAACAGTGCTGAATGATGTACATAGAAGTTTTCACATTCATTCAACTATTTTAAGCCCAGTGAGAAGAAATATTTGGACAAGACTAAGCATTCTCCACTTTTGGCATGCCTAATGATTTCCAACTTTGTGTCCGTTTTATTAAGAATGTGATTATTGCCTGTCTCTGTATGTTTATTTTCCATTCAAATAATTGTACAAATACTACTATCCAAGGATGTCATTCCTTCCCTAATTGAACAACTTGATGAAAGAGAGCACATCTTATGGCATCTAGCTATCTGCTGGTGTAGGAAAGTGAACTCAGTATTTTAAAGAAAGATTAGCATGGTTGCTGGTGTGTGATGGACAGAAGTCAAGAGCCATCCATCAGTATTTTAAGTAGTAAATTCTCTTAGGGCATGTTCACTAGAAGCAGAGTCAGAGTCCAGGATTCTCGTGCAAGAGACTAATTGAGGGGATGCCCTCAGGACAGTCTGTGAGGAAATGATGGAAGCAGGAAAGAGCAAGGGAAAAAGCTAAGCAGAAGTGTCTTTCAGCTGAGCTCTAGCCTTCCCTGGTCTCCAGAGGGAGCTCTGGAGTGTGAATGTCACCCAGAGTTCCGTTTTGTACCTTGCACCTCCACAGCCAAGGGGGGAATAATCCTCCCCTGGCATTCCTACCCAGGCAGCTCCATTAGCTGAAGGCAGTTCGTAGAAAACGAAACAGCGGTGAGCTGTTACGAGCCAAGCTCAAAGCAGTGGAGCGAGGAGTGCACCAGCCTTATAAAAAGTCTGGAGAGGCACTAGTAGGTCGTCTTGCCTGGAGTCCTTTCCCTTTCCCCCACGGTGCCATCTCCATCCACTGAAAGTGTACTCATTCTTCAAGATCCAGCCCCAGACCACCTGCACTGTGTAGCTTTCCCTAATCACAGCAACTGGATTTGAAAGGTGTTTCAGTTAACTTGTATAATCGTAAATTTTTAAAAATCAGAATGAAAAAAATACTCTAAAAAATGTGTTCAGGTCCTGGCATTACAATCATATACTAATTTTCTAAACCTAGGAAGCAGTTAAGCCTCTTTGAGCTTCAGTTTTGATATTTGTAAAATTCTGGTATTACCTGCTCAATCTACTTGACCAGGTTGTTGTAAGAGTGAGGTGAAATCTTGTATCGGAGAACTTCTTACATTATGTACCCACGTGTACAGTGAAGACTTCCCTTAGTCTCATGTAGATGAACCCCCAGACTTGGAAGGGACATCGGCTTCGTGCTATCACTGTCTGTCCTCCAGATAGCACATACTCCAGTCACTTGGCTTGAGCACAAATGAGTCACTTTACCTGGATGTAAAAATTTATCAAGGCAGCCAATATAATATTTGTGTTTCCTTAATAACACACCATTTCAGAAATTCTGATTTGTTATGATTTTTTGGATTGATATCCTGTATCCCCTGTTAATTTTTAGGTTTCTGAATGGGAAACACATTTCATATCCTCCTTTGTTTCATCCATGCTACCTGCCACGTAGTCTTGCATGTGGTAGATATTAAATAACGACTTGTCAGATAAGGCCGAGAGGTTTTTTAGGGAAGACTTTACTAGCTTCTCTAGGGCTAGGACCCTTAATTTGTCCTCAGAGCTCATAGTTTTGAGCCTTATCTTAACTAAATGAGAGGCAGGATAAAATGGTTTATTATAATCATTCTAGAGATGTGGCTTTAAGTGAAAAGCACCTAGTTAAAAAGAAATGCAATTTAGAGACCTTTTATGTAGTTTTAGCCTCCCTTAACTGATAACAGTGAGATAATCCTTTAACAGAAAAAAAAAATGAAGATATGAAAACCAACTTGAATAATTTATCTCTAATAATATTAACATGTGCTGAAATGAAATATATAAACTAGTTTTTTAAGACTTTTAATTTAGTAACTGATTTAGTAATTTCAGAAGCTTTCATCATCCTGGAAGTCATTCTCTTCTTTTCCTAAAATTGTAGGTGTATTTTTTATCTCTGTGTATAGGACCATTTCACTTCTCCGGATGAATACGATGACCCCACTGTGCTCTATGAAGCCATTGTGTCTCATGAGAAGAACCTCGTCATAGCCCACGAAGGGGACCCTGCGTGGCGGAGTGCAGTCCTCGCCAACTCACCCTCCCTGCTTGCTCTGCGGCACGTCATGGATGATGGCACCAACGAGTACAAGATCATCATGCTCAACAGACGCTACCTTAGCTTCAGGGTCATTAAAGTAAGGTTTGGAGGCACTTGTTTGCCTCTGAAAACAATGGAGCTTAGATAACTGTATCCAAACTTTTAAAAAGTAATTGAAACTCTTTTATAGAAAACAAAAATAATGACCATACTACATTAACGTTTATTGTTTTTGAGCTCTTAATTTATTTTGTCAGTAATTTACTCTGTCCTCTGAAATTTTTTCATGTGCCATAAAGCCTTAAATTTTTTGTTGATTTCTCTCTTGGCCGTCTCTTGCCTGTTATATGTGCTCTTTGGGCAGCATCTCTTCCTAAAATGTCAGCACTGTATTGCTCAGAAGATGTGATTCTTAGGTTGCAAAATAATACTACAGCTTGTACTTCATAGTAGCTAACTGTAAACGCTTCACTCTAACTTGCTTTTTTGTTTTGTCATTTTTTTTAAGCATCTCAGGGCTTTAGGAGGCTTAATCGCTGACATTTTATTTTGTTAGTTTGTAATGTTTTTTCTTCATTTAATCAACCCCCAAAATCACAAACATCCTTTCAACTCTAAATATTTGTTACCTCTCATTTCTATCAAAAATATTTATTATCTTAGTTATGAAATTCAGTGCTTCACCAATTTAGAAAACTAAATAGACTACATTTTACTTGGTATTTTTACAAGACAGCAGAGGGAAGAGCTCTGTAGGTGTTTATTATTTAATAGCCTAATGACAGTGGAAAATAGTCAACTCCTGTTCAGATGTGACCTACTTATATTTGTTTCCTGCTTTTCACAGTTGGTTATTGTAATGTCTTTTATATCCCTCCCATTTCTACTCTTCTGTTTATATAAATTTTATTCTTGGCCCCTTAACCTAATTCCCATGTGTTCTGGTTTTCAGGTGAATAAGGAGTGTGTCCGAGGCCTTTGGGCAGGGCAACAGCAGGAGCTTGTTTTCCTACGTAACCGTAACCCAGAGAGAGGTAGCATCCAAAATGCCAAGCAAGCTCTGAGGAACATGATAAACTCATCTTGTGATCAACCTATTGGCTACCCGATCTTTGTCTCACCCCTGACAACTTCTTACTCTGACAGCCATGAACAGCTTAAAGAAATTCTTGGGGGACCTATCAGCTTGGGAAATATCAGAAACTTCGTAGTGTCAACCTGGCACAGGTGAGCCATAGGACTGCCTTTTCCAGTGGTGGTGTGTCCTGGCCCGCTTAATCTAGGCAGTGTGCCTTAGCACCACCTGGAAAGATTGTAGGAAAAATACAGATGCCACGGTAGAATAAAAACCTGTTATACCTGAACTTCATGAAGTACAATCTGAGCATTTGTATCTTCACACTCTTATTAAATAAGTCTAATGTACAGTAGTCTGGTCAGGAACCACTGCTCTAGCATTTAGTAGAATCTTGGATAATTCCCTCCTTTTAGTTTTTTAAACTCTCTATTGGAGCTTATTGCCACTATTAGAATGTGTGGGTCAACAAACAGGGCAAATGAGAGAAAAATAAAAGAAACTGGTGCAAGTCGATTACATTCTTTTTGTATTCCGTTCCAGCAGTAGGGGGAGCATGCTGTCCATGTTGAAACTCCTCCTTGTGAGATGCAGAGATACTGCTGCCATTTTAACAGTTAGTCAGCACTCACATCTCAAATATTTAGTGTCTTCAAGTATGCACATGAATTTTTTTCCTCTGCCTTTTGTGTAGTGAATTATGATATATGGTGCAGGAACATCATAATTTGATGGATGGTAAAGAAAAATCTCAGATTAAGAGTTGTTCAGATCCTTAAATATCAAAACTTAATCCAAAGCAAGACTAGAGCAACAAACTCACAAACAGGTATTTTAAAATTCTTCCAGGAATACCCAGTATTAAAGAGTAAAATTTCACCATTTTAACATCTACCCCTATTCAAACAGAGGGAAGAATACAAACCAGGGTAGTGTTCAAAGAAGTTTTCTTTTCAAAAAAATACGTGTTGTGCTGGAATTGCCTTGTTTGCTCGGGACTGAGTGGTTTTCTGGGATGCAGGATTTTCAGTGCCAAACTGAGACAGTTGTGGGCAAACCAGGAGAGTTGGTCACCCTACGTTTTAAAAAAGAGAAGAGGGCTTCCCTGGTGGCGCAGTGGTTGAGAGTCCGCCTGCCGATGCAGGGGACGCGGGTTCGTGCCCCGGTCTGGGAGGATCCCACATGCCGCGGAGCAGCTGGGCCCGTGAGCCATGGTCGCTGAGCCTACGCGTCCGGAGCCTGTGCTCCGCAACGGGAGAGGCCACAACAGTGAGAGGCCCGCGTACCACAAAAAAATAAATAAATAAAAATAAAAAAGAGAAGAAAAATTATTACAACAGTTCTCTTCAGGTGTGCTACAGAATAAATTAGGTTTAATTTAAATCAATTAGGTATTCGTGGGTTGTATACAGTGACAAGGATTCTATTTCCAGCTAAGATCTTAATGGAACAACTTGTTATGTGCAGTTCTTTGTTATGGTGTAGAAAAGATGATAGAGTGTAGTGTAAAAGTGAAGTTGATTAGAAGAACAGAGGCAGTGAGTATGAGGGAGGTACGCAAACATCATAGACTCTTTTGCTTCTTAATGTTGATTGCCCCATGAAGATTTCCAAAGGGGAACATTAGTAGCATTAAATGTTCAGAATACAGTACCTATCTTGAAGTGATCTTGGGACCATGCCCCTTACTCCGGTGTTTGTTCCTAGGTTAAGGAAAGGTTGTGGAGCTGGCTGTAACAGTGGTGGCAATATTGAAGATTCTGATGCTGGAGGTGGAGCCTTTTGCACTAGTAACAGTGCAACAACTGCCAATGATCCCCACAGCAGTGCATCCCAAGTAAGCACTGGAAACCCAGGCCAGGGACCGGGAGCAGGACTCCATCCACCTGTCACATCTTACCCTCCAGCACTAGGTAATGTGAAACAGAATTATGTGTGTAATATTAGCTTCTCAACTGTGGGGTTCAGGTAGTATGTGTGTATAAAGAGGGTGACATATTACCTACTTGGAAATATATAAATAGAATGTTTTGTTTGATTCCCAATAGGACATTATCCTACTTGTTTATATTAATCATTTAATATATATAAATATAAATATACACCATTTGAAATAGCATTTCTTTGAAAGTATCATTTTTAAAGGCCAATAATAGTTAACTAATATAATTTACTTAACAGCGATTTGGTTTCTTCTGAGTGTTGTAATAATCTTTGTATATAAATCTTTGTAATCACTTATTATTTTCTTAGGCTGGAAACTTTAAAAATGGAATCAAGTCAAAGTTTATGAGAATATTTAAGACATGATACATAATGCCAAAAATCTTTCCAGAATTTTTTATTTCTCTTACACCAGTTGGTACTCTGACCAGTTTTGAGTATCAAAGTTTCCACCTCTGCTGCTTGCTCTCTCAGAGAGACAGGAGAAGGGGGGTGGTCTTTAGTTGCATTTTTTAAATTTGCATTTTTGCTCTAATAATACCTGAGGTTGGAAACTTTTAAAAGAGTTTGTCAGATCTTCTTTCTGAAGTACATGTTAAGTCTCTTGCCCATTTTTCCACTTGGTTATCTTTTTCTTATTTGTATATTCTGGATTGGAACTCTTGGTCAGTTTTCTGTACCACAGACATCTTTTTCCATTCTGTATCTTGACTTTCCCTTCTCTTTCTGTGAAGAGTGGCTTGCCTTTTTTTGGTAAGTTCTTAATTTTTGTGTAGAGCAATTTACTGATCTTTTCCTTTATGATTAATACTTTTTGTATCCTATTTAAGAACTTTTTCCTTATCCCAAAGGAAGCTATTCTTTTACTAATTTGCCTTTTACATGAGAGCTGTAATCCACCTGGCATGCAGCAGGACTCAGATCTTACCTGTTCCCGGATGGCTGGTCGGTTGATCCAGCACTGTCCTTTCCCCCTCCGTTTTGCATGGATCAGATGAAGTTTTAAAACATTTACTTAAAATGATTTAAAAAAATGTAATGGCACTGGAATTGTTAAGACTCTAAATAGGTGTGTGATCAACATTTTGTTATGTTCTTTTTTAACTTCTGAGTGAAAACCTAAAACTGCCAGTGTGCTTCTTTAAATATACCTTTTACTTTTAACATTGATGAGCTCTTTTTATTTTCAGATTAAAAAATACATGTAGTTATTTTTCAATATAATTAATAATAATTTTCTAATAATCTTCACATTACTCTTCACAAATCTGAAGAATCCTATTGAGCCATTAGAAAAAAGGACACAGAATAACCTGCTATTTAGCATCACTGATCATTCATATTCAGTAGTGATCCCTTAATGTATATGTATATTACAGTGTGGCATCACTGTGCCTCTGTAGGTAGTATAGCTTGTCATTGGGATAGATTGAAAGACCATTAATACCGTATTTTGAGAAATAGTAGTTACAGAGCTTGCCACATAGTAGATCCTTAATAAATATTTCTCACTGTCTCATTTCTATGAGATATTCATGTATCCTGAAATATTTCAGTGAAAGAAATTTTAGGATTTATCTCAACCTGAATACCTGCTATTTCCTATAAATTATTTAATTGTATTTTTTTTATGCCCCAGAATTTGATTTTAAAAAGCTTCAGCAAACAGAAATTATGTTACAAAAACCACATAAGAAAATAGATCTCAGATATTTATTTCTTTTTGGCAACTTTAAAAGTTTTAGGTATAAATATTAAATTCAGTAAATTCACCAACTAATTGAAGGTGCGAGGCTTAAGGGAGAAAGTCTTAGAAACTACTGAAAAAGCAGTTGTGTTTGGGTCATCCTACTGAGAAGGAGTGCTGCTGTTGTTTCTCCCTCCCCAGCCGCTAGCCACAGCTCTCACTCTGTGCAGTCCAGCCTGGTCCGGCAGTCCCCTGCCCGGGCCTCTGTAGCCAGCCAGTCGTCTTACTGCTATAGCAGCCGGCACTCATCTCTCCGGATGTCCACCACGGGATTTGTGCCTTGTCGGCGCTCTTCCACCAGCCAGATATCGCTTCGCAACTTACCGTCATCCATCCAGTCCCGCCTCTCTGTGGTGAACCAGATGGAACCCTCCAGTCAGAGTGGCCCGGCCTGTGTGCAGCATGGCCTGCCTTCCTCTAGCAGCTCCAGCCAAAGCATCCCAGCCTGCAAGCATCACACCCTCGTGGGCTTTCTTGGGACAGACGGCGGTCAGAGCAGTGCCGCTGATACGCAGCCCGGCAACACCTTAAGTCCTGCCAATAATTCACATGCCAAAAAGGGGGAGGTGATTTACAGAGTCCAGGTGAGTGAGCCCACGGTTCTTGCACCGTTTCTCTTACTCGTTTGTTTTTATTTCTTGTTTTTTTGAGTGAAGGACTCTTGTGAAGACACACCTTATATTGCTTAGTCTGAAGACTAGAACAGTTTTGAATGTTGTAAACATGTTTCTGCCAGTATAAAAACTGAAAGCAAGCAGTTTTTCACTGGTGGTATGTGTTCCGTCTTCAGCCATGGTTATGTGGCCATTGCAGTTAAGGTCTCCTAGGAGGCGAAAAGGAGTTCAGGTGGCTGTTCAGGTTGTGTTTTATTCCGTTATAGTCAGTGGAGAATTTGAGACACTGTGAAAGAAATTCTGTTTGGGATTATTTAATTATTTGTCTTCGAGGGGAAAATGAATTTTTGAATTCATTCATTCATTTTTGAATGAATGATCCATATTTATTTATACTGCAGATTGTGGATCCCAGTCAGATTCTGGATGGGATCAACCTGTCAAAAAGGAAAGAGCTGCAGTGGCCTGATGAGGGTATTCGGTTAAAAGCTGGGAGAAACAGCTGGAAAGACTGGAGTCCCCAGGAGGGCATGGAAGGCCATGTAAGTTCTCTTATGAAGCTGGTGCTCTGACTTTTTTGTAGCCTGACTGGTATGCCTGTTTTTTTAGCTGATTTATGTACTTATGCTTAATTACCAAACTGAATTACTACCTCTAATCTTAAGGATAGAGTCTGTGAGTGTATTCAGGGTCTCTGCCACTAACTGCTTGTTTTATTCTGAATCATTAGGTGATTCACCGTTGGGTGCCTTGCAGCAGAGATCCAGGTACTAGATCCCACATCGACAAGACAGTACTCCTGGTTCAGATTGAAGATAAATACGTGACTGTAATCGAAACTGGGGTACTAGAACTTGGGGCTGAAGTGTGAGCCAGTGTTTTATAACTTCATTTTTTTTCCCTCAAAATTCCAAGAGATTGGAAAAAAGAGGAGAGAGCAGAGATGCCTGCAGGTATCCCTTTGATCCTGTAGGAGAGACTTGAACATAGAGTGGGCTTGGTTAAGCACCTCTCCTTCGCCCTTCACCCTGACTCCTGTCACTGTCTCCATCCCCAAATAAAGCTGAAATATTTTTTTAAGTTAGCTGCTGAGAAAACATCGTGCATGAAGGATAAAGTTCTGTTAAAATACATCCTTAAAAAAAGTTTTTTCCTATGCATTGCCTATGCTTTAAATCAACAAACTCTTGCTTTCTAAATTATGATCTCATATTTTTCTAATTTTTTTGCCAAAAATAATTGCCATGTTTTGTCGTAAAACATGAAATCCATTTACCTTGATTTTTAAAAACAGACAAGTATAGAAACCTTCAGTTTGACATATAGCAGTATAAAAGTTTAATGTACAGTGAAAAAGACTATGAACAGACATAGATTTATCTTATTCCTTGAGCGCTAAAAACTTTAATGAAAAAAACTGCACTAATTTTTTACAATGCACTATAAAGTCTGAGATTTCTCAGAACATTTATTTATATATAAAAGTAAAATACCATTATTTAAATTGCCTTTGGGATTAACCCCTTCCCTTTCCTTATACGTAGCAGGAACTGTGCTGCTCATTTTTCTTTAGTAGTCTGTACTTCATGCCAGTCCATTTGATGTTTCCTTTAAAATGAATGCTTAATCTCAAGATACACGTAGCTTCATCACTGGCATTTCCCGGAGCCAGTAGTCAGTGACTCAGTCCCGTGAACACTCCTGCCAGCTCCTGTGTCCACATTTCAGATGGGCTCCAACACTGTGTGCGTCCCAGCTACCCTGTTTCTCCCACTTGGGGCAAGTTCTGCTGGGGTCAGTTCTGGGAAGAAAATACTTTTGCTTTTCAAAGAAGAAGGTGAACGTCCTGGAATTTAAAGAAAGGATGGATTGCCTTTTATTTTAAGAGTTCTTAGCTCTTGAAGTTATTCACATGCAGTTCAGTTAATCAAGTAAAATTTTTTCAAACAAAATTATCCAAATGGTGCAGTTCTTATCGTTATATCCCTCTTTAAAACTGCCTATTATTTTCCTCCTCTCTTCTTATTCTGTTACTTGAATTTTATTTCCTGTGATTTATAGTGTGTGGCTGTAATTTGAAATATTTATAACTGTGATGAAATTGACTTAATTCATATGTTGTCTCATAACTTAAATTTTATTGGTTTTTTAAAAAATGTATGTATTCAGGGAAATATATAACTCAGATTTACAATTAGACTAGGTGGGAACTGCAGTTTAGATTTAATTTTCAACATATGGCGTTTTTTAAATCCTTCAGAAAATTTTTCTCCTTTTGTGTGAAACTCCAAAGAAGATTGTACATCTGAGCATTCAGGAGCAGCCATCTTTGTGCCCCCTGTGAATGGAAAGTAAAAAGAAGCAGGTGAAGTTAATTTCAGTCATACATTTTGTTTAGTCCATTATATCCAAAGTATTGCTATTTCACCATGTGGTACTAGCCGTATCACAGGTACTTGCTAGCCACGTGTGCTTAGTGGTTACTGTATTGGGCAGCGTGGGTTTAAAGTGTCTTCTGATGAGGTGAGAGGAGATAGAAGCTGTTTTTCCTCCTAATTCTGATGTAGATCTTACAGTATCACATGACACTTCAGTGGACTGAAGGAATGAAAGCTAAGGAAGTAAATAGCTAATATATAGCCTCTGATTGCATTTTCACTCCAAAACCTATTGACTCTTCCTTTTTCCAATTTTAAATTTTTGTGGGTATTCAGGAGCCAATGTGCCTTGTGTTGAGGTTTCCAGACTTCACACACTTTGCAGAATTTCCTGTTGAAAAACTTTTTGTCAAATGATTTACTGAACATTTACACAAAGGTATCCTTTCTAAATTGACCAGTTAAAATGTATTTTTCCTGATGCTGTCATTATATTCTGTGTTTGCCTTATTTTGGCAAATCTACAATATGCCATTAAGGTTCAGGTTTTTCTTTTTTCTTGTGGAACTGAATATATGATCTGTTTGTCTATCTGTATTATCTAAAATCCTCTCAGAGGAATTATGCTCCCTGCTGCTTGTTCCCTTTCTGAGATGAATATGATCTCTTCATGGTCATTGCCTAGATGAGAAGATAAGTGGAGCCTTTCCAGTCTTAAATAGAAGGTACTTCATTTTCCTACACAGAGAAAAAGAAAAAACCTGAACTTCAAATGTTAAAGACTAAAACATATAGTCTTTTTAAAATCATAATACTTTTCTAATAATTGCATCAGGGGAAGCACTGATAATTAAAAAAGGAGTCATGTCTAAAAAATAATTGGAACTAAAGTATAATATAGAAATATACACACTTTCATTAATTAAGTTGATTATACATGTCTTATTCAACCCTGTCCCCTGCCACCCCACACCCCCTTGAAGATTAGTGAGCTGTTCATTTAGATTCCCTGCTTAGCCTTTTTGATTAGTATATAAGACTCCAGTATACACACATTAGCATCTTTAGTTCACAGTTGCCAAACGTTCAGAGTTCCATAATTTGAAAGTAAAAATATGTAATTAAAACACTAGTTTTTTTCATTTGCTTTAAATAGTTTTATTGATATCTTTCGGGGGGTTTTCTTGTTTGATTTTGCTTTTTCCCCCTTTAGAGAGAGTTCTGGAATAAGTTATAAATTCCTAGCTCTTTTGCTGTTGTTATTCAGTGTTAAAAATCATTTTATAACTCAAATTTTTGGTTAATCTTCCAGTTTATAACTTGGTGTAAGCCCTATTTTTACACCATTTTTCAATACTTTTTTTTTTTTTTTTAACATCTTTATTGGGGTATAATTGCTTTACAATGGTGTGTTAGTTTCTGCTTTATAGCAGAGTGAGTCAGTTATACATATATATATGTTCCCATATCTCTTCCCTCTTTGTCTCCCTCCCTCCCACCCTCCC